GGACGTCTGGTCACCTTATCCCTAACCCTTCGGGTGCTGAGGCCATTGTTTCAGATTAGTTTTAGTTTTTTGAAAATTTGCTCATTGTGACTCATTTTGGCAGCACAGGTCACAAATAAACCTAAATGAATTCAAATGCTTTATATTGGAAATAAGAAGAAAATATTGTGACCCACACCTGCCCACTTTAATAACTCCATAAAGTGCCACTTATGAGCCAATCCCAAACGACTCAAAGACATGGCAACCTGCAAGAGATTTCAGTGCGAAACAGCCATCCAAGCTGAAACAAAACACCACACCTCTGTTCACGGTGGGTTAGTTCAAATTGACTAACATAACAAGTATTTGTAATATCACTTTAGTCCAAAATAGCAGATATCAGAGATGCCAGAATGTTGCTATGGTTACCACTGTGTCAATCATCACAGTTTTGGGCATGAGTCACGTTCCTTACGCACACAGAAGGATAAATTAGGGGTATTTGAACAGAGCTCTGCATGTTCATGGTGTTTATTTTACCACAAATAATTTACAGTTTATTTCGATTTTATTCTGAATGTTGCTTTGGATTAAAGTGTGCTACATGTGACCTCATAGCAGTTGAAATGTCACTCGAATGTCAAAAAGTAGACAAGTTTGATGTGAAGTTTAATGGGTGTGTTCTGCTCATTCTCTCTCTCTCTGTCCAGTGTGTGCAGTGGGTGGATGATGCTAAACTCAATCAGCTGAGGCGAGAGGGAATCCGCTACGCTCGTATCCAGCTCTACGATAACGACATCTACTTTATCCCTCGCAACGTAGTTCACCAGTTCAAGAGCGTGTCGGCCGTGTGCAGCCTCGCCTGGCACGTGCGTTTGAAGCAGTATCACCAGCAGCCCGAGGTAGAGGAGGCTCGTGAGGAAGGCGAGGAGCTGAAGCAACACATCAAGCAGGAGTCAGCTGGCGAGAATGGCAGAGCTGCAAACACAGACTGCAGACCTGCACAAGAGTCGCCGTGTGTAACGCAAATAAAGATGGAGCGGGCGGAGCTACTTGCTGACAGACCGCCCAAACCTCTTCCTGGAAGTAACAGCTCGACTCCGCCTCTCGTCTCCTCTGACGGCCGACCCAAAGCACACCACACGGCAGAATGTCCAAGTGCTTCGTCACAGGCCAACGCGTCACGCAATCCGACAGCCAGTCTGCACGCACCCAAACACACACACACATCAACACCAACCAAACACACACACACCTCCACATCCAGATATCTCCATTCTTCCTCTGTCCCCAAACCGGGCCACAGGCCCTCAACACCAACAAAACTCAGCCATTCTTCCAACACAACCAAATCCACACAACCCATTAACACAACCAAACCAACACAACCAGCTAACACAACCAAACCCACCCAACAAACTAACATAACCAAACCCACACAACCGGCTAACACAACCAAACACGCACACTCCACACTAATAACCAAACCTGGCCCCAAACTGAGCTCTGGACTGTCAATCAGCTGGACTGCTCCGCCCCTGGCCCTGCCCCAGGCCACGCCCCCTCTGAGGCCAGACCGCCCCCCAGACTCTCTGCACCCAAAGGCGGTCAGAGCTCACCCGCATGAACCACACAAAGACTTTTTATACTGATTTGTACAGAACGGTTTTCAAACGGCGCTTCATTTAATCACGTTTATTTTTACTGTCTACTGGATTTTCTTTCTTCGTAATCAATCTGACAAGAGCAGAGAATCCATGACTTCTGTAAGACCGGATCAACATCTCTCTCTGTCTCTCTCCTGTTTCTGGTTGTCATCATGGCAAATGTAGCTCGTAACTCGCTCCTCAGTGCCTGTCCGTAACTGTGAAATATCCAAGCACTTCGGCTCGGCTGCACTGAGAAAATTCTTCAAATCCAAACAGGTCCTTGAATAATATATTTTCAGTTGTAGGCTTTAGTCGTATTAGAGCTGACATGAACATATATATTTTTTGTAAGATGACAGAATTCTTTTAAAGACTACAGTCTTTTCCATAGAGCTTATTTATATCAAGGGTTTCTTTGGTTCTGTTTGATTCGTCAGCACTGTAGTGTACATAACGATTTTTCTAAAGGAAATGTGTAGTGTGATTTATACTGAAATCAGAACCTCCTAATAAAAGGTTCGGTTTGTTGGATCGGTGTCGTGTCTGTAAACCTCGTCGGCACGCAAGTGTTTTGCATGATCTGAAGCTACTAAAGAGAATTAAAATATCACGATATCTGTTTCGCATCCACACCGTCTTCTGGGGTGTGATTTTTCGGTATTTCTACTGATTTATGCTATGTGTTATGTTTGATAGCAGACTGTCTTTCAATAGTCACATTACCAATGCCTTCTTTCACCTCAGAAACATTGCTAAACTACGAACTAAACTTTGGAATAGACTTTCTAGGGCTGTTCGGGATTCTCTCACTTTTAAGACATGCATAAACAGTTCATTCCTCAGTCATGGTTTTGCTGTATTAGTCCGTTCTGACAGAAACACTTTTCATACTGTATGCATGAAGTGCTAATGTTATTCCTTCTCATCTGCCATTATATCCTGAGGGTCTCAGGTCCCTCCCACCATTCTGTGCTGCTGTCTGATGAATTCGCATCTGTGCCATGTGACCATCGTAAACCAACTATTATCGACTGTCATACTCCGGTCTTCCACATTTGAGCTCATAATGACTGAACTGCTGCCATGTCTAACCTGAGCATAATCTATATCAGCCGCATCAGTAAATCAAGAGACAAGCCTCAGACACTTGTTTGTTAATGTTCATTTTGACCTTATGTTGTTTAACCAGAGGAGAACAGGCCGAATGAAGCGTTTCGTTCTCTGGCTGCTCACTGGAGGGTGAAAGCATTGTGGTGTTTCTAGCAGCTCCCTAATTAAACATCTTAGATTGAAAACTGCTTAACATGAAGTATTAAGGCATTATAGACATAACAGCATGGCTTTATGTAAAGTGCTATACCAGGGGTGGCGAACGTCGGTCCTGGAGAGCTGCTGTCCTGCAGAGTTTTGCTTCAACCCTAATCAAACACACCTGAACAAGCTAATCAAGGTCTGAACGGTTACTAGGAAGCTACAGGCAGGTGAGTTTTAATTAGGGTTTGAGCCGCAGCTCTCCAGGACCAGAGTTCGCCACCCCTGCGCTATACAAATAAATTTGACAAATAGACTTCATTTTCCACCTGGTAATAAGATGTTTCTGTGATCGGATCAGTGGACAGCATTAAATACAGATGTGAACAGGGTCTAAAACATTTTGTGATCGCATCATCGCATCTTTATTTGCAGAGTAAGCGCTCATCCGTCCTGATCACTGAACACATGACCATTCTTTCAAACTTTGTTGTGTTGTAACAAAATACATCGATTAGGATCTAAATTAATATCTGTGGTTGAACGTAAAATAAGGCTAGATGTCTCTTGTCCCACAAAAGTGAGGTTTGTCTGTGAAGAAATAAGATGAAATCTGAACACCAGTGTAAAGATGATTCATTGCTCTCATCGTAGACTCTGATCATAAAGGCCTGTTCACACCAACACAAATGTTTGGCATGAAATTTTAATTTTTGCAATCTGTTCAGATGAATGTGTAAAAACGGCAGACGGGTTAATTGAAAATGCAAATTCAATCTCTGACAGTAGGTGGCGCTTATAGAAAAGCAGAAGTAGCCCGGTTACTCTGGCGATCAAAATCATGAATTTTTTTGGTTGGCCAGTTTTCTATTGCAGTGTGATTGGAAAAGAGATTGGAACACTTCTTCATTAAAAATCTGATAATTGGTCTTGGTGTGAACAGGCCTTAAACCCCATTCCATCACCCTTCCCTCTCATAGAGTTTTTATTATGTTTTCAAGTCATATTTATTTATTTACAACACACAGTGTTTCAAATCAGCTTTACAGAACATCATATTGTAACAGAGAGTCATGGCTTAGTGTCAGTAATGTCTTCAGAATTTCCAGTATGGTAAATAGTGGAGGGAAAAACCTTGGGGTACAGCAGGCGAGTTCCTCTCTGGCTATACAACATCAACAATGGTACTTGTCTGTGCTACTATTTTACAGAACTGTAAGATTAATTATTATTGGTCTATGAGGTATATCCTGGATTAGTAGATGTGACACATAGATGCAGTGTTTTTGAATTTGGTAAATGTTGTCAATAATAGTTTATTTTCTGTGCAGTCCATCTGAAGTCAGTGTGTCGCTGTCTTCAGCTGAAGCACCTCGACGTTCAGCAGCACAAGCTCAGATTAATGTGTTTTAATGTAGAGTTATAGAGCAGGAGAATCAGTTTTGCACTGTTTCATGGGGTCATTAAATCAATGTCCTCTATTAACGAACCATCACATTTTTTAAACAAATGTGGCACCCTGCGTTCTTGTGGACTTCACATGTACGTGTATTCATCGGCCTTTGTAAAACACCAAGTGTACTTGTCCACATCCTGCTTCACCTCACAAACGCAGGATTGTGTGGTAATTGTAATTTTGAGCAGCAGCACAGTCCATAATCAACATCTGTGTCTGTGTGGACTGGTGCCCAGACAACAGCGCAATGCATAAGTCATTTGATCACATGGAAAGAAAGGTCCCCTACATAGTGTGCATGTTCATGAATGTGGTGCTCATCGTCAATGGCATATACATTTGTCATTTTAAAGGGTGCTCGTACTGCCCCTTTGTGGTTGTTTGATGCACATGTTTCCAGGCTGAGCAGCTTCTACCCAACAGTCAAAGCAGCATCACTTCACTAAAGTGTGGACTGTGAGGGCTTGAGGTGCCGTTTGGCATGGGGCCTTGCCATTTGGGAAGCCTTGATTGCTGAAATCAGATGATTTTGCCAGTTTGGTGAACTTCCGTGCTTTGAACCACTGATTCAAAGAATGTACTGTTACTTCCTCTACAGTCAAAAATCTGGGTGTTATATTAGACAGCAACTTGTCTTTTGAAAATCATATTTCCCATGTTACAAAAACAGCATTCTTCCATCTTAGAAACACTGCCAAGCTACGAAACATGATACCTGTTTCTGATGCAGAAAAGCTAGTTCATGCATTCATGACCTCTAGACTGGACTATTGTAATGCACTGCTAGGTGGTTGTCCTGCATCTTCAATAAACAAGCTACAAGCATTCAAATAATGCATCTCATAATCTTGTACTGCAGTTATATCTGATCAAATGCACATTATTATTCTTTAGTTTGGGTTAAACAAATACATTTTGCTTGGTTGGAACAGCAGCTACGCTAATTATGTCTCTATTTGTTTCTCTGTTTCTGCTGGGATTGGCATCCCGTGGTAACTAGGATTTACACGAGCTTCAGTCTGGATCCAGAACACCTGAGAAGAGATGATGCCAACCCCTCAGAGGACCTCAGATGATGCCAACCCTGAAACAACATACAGAACTACCACATTTTGCTACAAGTTTGATTGCATTGTAGGGTATCAGAGCGAATCAGACAATTTAAGATTTGATCAGACTGGTGTTGAACAGTGTTAATTTTGACAGGCATTTTTGATTTAGTCTTAGTCTTTATCTTGAGACAAAAATGCTTAATAGTCTTAGTCACATTTTAGTAATTTGAGTCTTTCATAGTTTTAGACTTACACTTTCAGACTTCTAGTCATTACTTTTAGTCAAACTGCAGTTACTAACATTTATTTTGGTAGCTATTTTATATGTAGTCTTCAAACAAATATAGTCATTAATTCTTCTCTCTTTAGACCAAATCAATTAAGCTTATGAGAAATTTTAATCAAGGATTGAATTTGAAAACTTGAATAAATGACAATTTTCATTTTTGGGTGAACTATCCCTTTTATCCCTTCAGTAGTGAAAAGGGAGCAACTTATAAAAATTATAGTTGTTCATATAGGCCTATAACATATATAATTTATAATTTTTGAAAAAGAAGCAGAATAAGAAAATAAGACAAAAATAAAAGAGATACAAATTAAATTCATTTTTTCAGATACAGTAGGTTTACTTAACATATTTATTTCACATCTTTTGTTGGTTAACATTAATGACACGGATAGGTACTTAATTAGGATTGCTGTCCCTTTAAGACGGAAGACATGCATGTAATACTGACACACGTTCAGTTTTCACTCACCAGTTTATGTTCACTTAATCCATAACCGACTGTATGTGAGATACTCTACACCAGTGTTTCTCAACCCTGGTCCTGGGCGCCCCCCAGCACTGCACATTTTGTGTGTCTCCCTAATCAAACACACCTGATTCAACTCATTAGCTAATTAAAAGAAACTCCAGGACCTGAAATGGGTGTCAGATAAGGGAGACACAAAATGTGCAGTGTTGGGGGGCAATCAGGACCAGGTTTGAGAGCCCCTGCGCTACACGATAGACATTTGGACTGCTGTGTCTGTGTGTGTATTTGAGCTGAGAACTGATCGCGCGCTGTATATGAGAACTGAAGAAGTGGAGCGTGCGCGAGAGAGAGCACTTCTCCTCCCCCGACAAGCCGCCACTGGTCCCATCTCATCTTGTTAACGAAGACGCGGAATAAATTTCGTCATAGTTTTTAATCATCAGATATTAGTTTTAGCTCGTCAACATCTTGTCTTAGTAACAGAAAAAATGTTCATTAACGAATATTTTTCGTTGACGAAATGAACACTGGTGTTGAACAGCCCAAAGAGCCGAATTCCACAAACAGGCCCAAGACAACAGGATGTTCATAAATCAGATCCTGGCGCCACGAGTCTGAAGTGAGCCTAACAAACTAGCAGCTTCAAACAGCTTTCAACATTAAACAAAAGAACACTTATTGACAATTCCAACTCCGAAAGGAGATTGTCAAATTTGGGGCAAATAACCAAGATTAATGGTCAAAGAGATGCACAGCCTGACTATCACATATGTAAATCCATGATAGAAATCATGAGCTACATACTTCCTCGGACTGGTTTCCCCCACCTAGAGGACAAGAACCAGACTGAAATTCCTTATGTGACCTTTTAACCTCGTTGGTCTTCACAGAACACATTATTACTTCACAGAATGGCACAGAAACTGCCTTTCCATGTATATGAGTTTGAAAATTCATGCTTTAAACGTTTCTATCAATCAATACTTTGTCAAATATATTATATTCTGGTTATAGAAATCATGTCCAAATTATACTCTGCAAGAGCGGGAACATTTGGACCATGTGACTGATAAGATAACGTTTGATTTATGTACTGGGAGGAGAAACATC